GGGGTGACCAAGGCGGTGGTGCCAAAGGAGAGTCTGGTGGGACAGGAGACGACACGAGCAGCAAACAGACTCAGGACCAGACCTGGACGCTGTAGCAAACACCTGACTCGACGCAGCTACCTGACCAGACGCAGCAACCGAAGGAGACTCAGTAGTCAGTGTGTACAGGCTCGACCCCGGTCGACGGGTAAACGTGGCCAAGTGTCGGCCCGTCCGAGCACACGTACAGTGGGTCACCCGCTGACTCGCAGGCGTGAACTGGTCAACCCCCCGATCCTGCAGATCAGCACCACTCACCAAGTTCGTAGAGAACGAGGGGAGGTAGAGACCTGACAGGGTGCCAGAGGGGGCTGCCGGACACGGTAAGACAGTGGAGAAGCTAGCAAGGACAGGACCCCCAGAGGGATCCGCCAGGGAGACCGCAACCGGCCGACTAAGCGGCGTAAGCGTGGTGCGGTCTCGAAAGAAGGAGCGGGAAGCACCCGAGTCAAGGGTGAAGGTGTGTAAGGCCTGAGCCGACGTGGTACCTGAGAGAGCAGACTCACCAGCACCTGGGGCAGCAGACGCACTAGCACCTAGAGCAGCAGCCTCACCAGCACCTAGAGCAGCAGCCTCAATGCCCGGGTCAGGCGGTACACACAGGTAACAGTCACCCTCATCACTAGTAGACACAGCATACATGGCAGAAAGAATAGCATCATAGTCAAGATCAAAGATAGCAACCCCCGCCCTAGACAGCTCTCCCCAGCGAGGGATCTCAGTGGCGTCAGGGAACTGGTGACGCCAAGCGTCCGTCAGGCAGCCAAAGCAGCGCTGGGTGGAGTGCGAGCCCCCGCACTGCTCACCAGCGCGGTCGCCAGTACGGAGGACGTAGGTACAGGGACCAGTACCCCCACCTCGCTGACGCCCAGCGTACCACTCACGAAGCTGCTGGGGGGACGGGGTCTCACAAGTGCGCTGCTGCTGCTGGCGCTGACCACCACCGGAGCCACTCCTCTGTGCAGAGCCGCGACCAGCTCCACTGCCGCTGCCGCCGCCGCCGCCTCCGCCGCCTCCGCTCCCACCGCCACCGCCGCCGCCTCCTCCGCCTCCACTGCTGCCACCGACACCTCCACCCCCGCCACCACTCCCACCACCACCCCCACCCCCTCCACTGCCTCCACCGCCACCTCCACCGCCCCCGCCAGCCCCTCCAGCGCCCTTGCCCCCCTTGCCCTTGCCTGTGCGGCGTCTCCCGCTAGGGGCAGACGCAGCGCCGACCGACTCGAAACCAACGAGGTCGGCCGCAGCAGCAGAAGCAACAGAGGGCAAGAGGGGGGAGGGGGAACACCCCTCAAAGACGGGGGTACGAGGGTCACCACGAGAGGCTCCTACAGCGACTATGCTCTTCTCTGCTGCCAGGAGGCACTCCTCAAGGAGGTCAACGGTGAGTATGGTGGGGCAAACTGTGAGGAAGTGGTCCCTGACTAAGCGAAGGGAGTCAGGGAGCCGGGTGACTATGTAGTAGAGGGTGATGTACATGGGGGGGGGGTTCTTGGCGCAGAACTCAGCAGGAAGCGCAGCGCGGTAGCGGGTGTCACTAGTGCGAAGGTGCGTAATGAGGTCAGCAACTGTGTGAAAGGCGGCTAGGTCAGGGAACAGGTACGGCAGCATGAGGCGGCTAAGGGCAGCACTGGCAGGGGAAGAGTAGCGTGCAATGACAGCGTCGTACAAGGTCTTAGCACTCTTGTACTGACTAAAGTGCGCGCGCTCAGTGGACGGCAAGTGACTACGCACAGCAAGACGGGCAGCAGCATCGCGTGTGGCCCACTGTGAGCGAACAGTGCTGTCAGCATCAGCAGCAGGGGCAGGAGAGGCGCCAGAGGTGAGATCGAACAGTGAGAGACCGTCTTTCCTATCGCACTGTAGGAAAAGCTGCAGATCATCGACCCAGACCTCAAAGTCAACAGCCCTACCCTCAGCATCAAAGACGAGGACGTTAGGGGTAGCCATGACAGCAGTAGTAGCAGTAGCAGCAGTAGCAGCAGTAGCAGCAGTAGTAGCAGGAGCAGCAGTGCGGCGACGCTCTTACCAGGGCAGAGGGCCGCAAGTGGTGGGGCAGGGCTGAGGCGCATCGGCAGGGACGGGCCGAGGTGCGCAGGCAGAGCCGAGGCGCGTCGGCAGGGACGAGTCGAGGCGCGCCGGCAGGGACGGGCCGAGGCGCGCCGCTAGGGACGGGCCGAGGCGCGCCGGCAGATACGGGCCGAGGCGCGCCGGCAGGGTCGGGCCGAGGCGCGCCGGTGGCTGCTGCTGGTGACGGCTGCGGCTGCTGCTGGTGACGGCTGCGGCTGCTGCAGTAGGGGCGGCGACGGTGGGCCGCGAAGGGGCCGAAAAGGGCGGCGCGAGGGGCCGTAAGGGGCCGACGAGGGCGGCGCGAGGGGCCGTAAGGGGCCGACGAGGGCGGCGCAAGGGGCCGACGGGCAGCGCGAGGGGCCGTAAGGGGCCGTAAGGGCGGCGTGAGGGGCCGTAAGGGGGCGCTAAGGGCGGCGCGAGGGGCCGACGGGCGGCGCGAGAGGCCGTAAGGGGCCGTAAGGGTGGCACGAGGGGTCGTAAGGGCGGCGCGAGGGGCCGTAAGGGCGGCGCGAGGGGCCGTAAGGGGCCGCGAAGGGCCGTGAGAGGGGCCGCTAAGGGCGACACGAAGGGGCCGTGAGGGGCCGTGAGAGGGCGCGACGGTAGGGAGGGCACACGGGGCGCGACTCGGGCAGGAGCGAAGCGCGCTCCGGGCAGGAAAATTTTATCGTGGTGGGCCCTGAGAAGTGTTCCCACTAGGAAACCTGCTCTATACCATGTGAAGAAATGAGGAAGGAGTGAATGAACTAGCAAGCAGGTGGGTACAAGTAGGAAAACCTAAAAGTGTTGTACCCCATATTGTCTACCCCACTACAGCCTCCACAGACTATAGCATATGAGTTTGACAGATCTGTGCAGAGTCGTCAAGAAGGCACACGTGGCATACGTTCATGAATGAACGGGAGTGTTGGAGTAACGCGATAATTATCTCCAGCATTCAAAAATGTGCAGCCTTATCGCACTTGCTACTATCAAATAGCACTTGTACCACTACCGCGTTAGCCAATATAGGGCACGCAAGTCAACAGTCGCGGATCAACTGTCGCGACTGTTGACCGACTTGGACCAAGATATTGTGACTTGCTTCAACTATCGCAACCGTATCGGAGGTTACATGCTGCAAACAATGTAATTGGAAGGATCGCAATAGTCACTGCTACTGCAGAGATACCTGTATTATCGTTAATAAGGGAATGTACCCATCAGATTACATGGCTAGCTAGGATCTATATATTACATATAATGCTTTGATTCTTATAAATATTGTCAATTACATTCATTGTGATCAAGCTTTGCATCACAAAGACTTCCGCTACTAACTCTAGCAGACGTGACGTATCCTATCCAAGGATCCTCCTTATTCTAACAGCGAATACTGAAGCTGTGACAACATGGACTGACGATACAATGAAGGACACAAGATGATATAGCGAGCTAACCTAGGTAGGCGAGAGTATAGGAAACGGGATGTTGGTTGCACGTCAGCTAGGGAAAAGCTGAGGGCGACACGAGGCAGCCTCGGTGTCAATGAAATCGACCTACATGTACTTCCAGGTGTTTGGGTTGTACATAAAGGATTAAACCTCAATAAGGATAAATAATATGTCTTTACAATAATACCTTAGATGGGGCTACTATAGTGGTCTTTGGGTCTCTGACTATGGAGAATCCAACTTGCCGAGATGTTCGCCGATGCGACGATCGTGATGCTCAATGACAAGCACGACCCATCGTTGTGTCGCTCATTGACAGCAAGACATCGGCGAAATCGAGTGTTGTAGCGCGAATGTCTTGTTTGTGGTATCCGGGTGTTTATTAACACATCAAGGTGATCTCATATCTTCAGTCTGCACGCCCAACCCTCCACCAACCCTACCGAGTGTTCACGTCCTAACAGCTGATATAACTACGCGACCAGGAGCATTTCCGTAGCGACGAAACGCAAATCAACCAGACGCCGCCACGCATTGTCCACTCCATTCGGCACGGAAGGTTATCGGCAAGCTTGGCGAGGCGCTCACGCTGAAAGCATCTGAAACCTAGCTTTGTCGTAACTCCGAGTCCCCATGTGTTGGCGATGGCATTACTACTAGTACGGACCAACCCAGCCGTCCGACCCTAGACGATATCTCGGAGAGTCTTCAACGAACGCGTAGGGCTGCGCGCGTTACAAGCTGCGCGTTACAATCTGCGCGATCTAAGCGGCGCGTCACAAGGGGCGCGTTGCAAGGAGCGCGTTACAAGGGGCGGGTTACAAGGGCGGGTTACAAGGGGCGGGTTACAAGGGGCGGGTTACAAGGGGTGCGTTACAAGGGGCGCGTTAAAAGGGGCGCGTGGCGGCATGGGCAACTGCTGTGAGACCCCCGCCGCCGATCCCCCCGTCCGCCCCACCGCCCAACCGCCACCCCAACTGCCCGCGGCCCAACAGCCCGCGGCTCAACAGCCCCCATTGCGTGAGCCCCATTGCGCGAGCCCCATTGCGCGAGCCCCATTGCGTGAGCCCCATTGCGCGAGCCCCATTGCGCGAGCCCCATTGCGCGAGCCCCATTGCGCGAGCCCCATTGCGCGAGCCCCATTGCGCGAGCCCCATTGCGCGGGCCCCATTGCGCGAGCCCCATTGCGCGAGCCCCATTGCGCGAGCCCCATTGCGCGAGCCCCATTGCGCGGGCCCCATTGCGCGAGCCCCATTGCGCGGGCCCCATTGTGCGAGCTCTCGCCCGACTTCTCCCACTGCCTGCCTTCGTTTTCCTCGGAACTCCTCATCGCGGGGGGCTTTTCACTGCGGGGGGGCTCTTCACTCTCCCCTCCCCTCGGCCCCTCCCCCACCTCCCCTGTTCCCCGCCTCCCAAGACCAGCCACAAGTCCGTTGCAGTGTGCGCTTTTACCTGAGCTCACCACGCCACACCTGCGCACCCACCCCCCGCTCCCCCCTCTGCCACCCCCCCAGGCTCACCCGCCTCTCTCCACGAGTACAGCAGCGGCGGCTCAGGCTGCCTGGTGAAGGCCTTCTCACGTGTGCTGGGGGAAGGCCGGTTTGGGCGCCTGGCCTCCCATTTCCTCTGCCCTCCCACCTCCCCGCTCCTCCCCCCCGTCCCCCCTGCAGCTGACGCACCCTCCCCCCTGCGCGAGTTCACGACAGCGGAGCTGGTGGCGGCGACGCGCAACTTCGCGCGCGTGGTGGGGGAGGGCGGCTTCGGGCGCGTGTACCACGGGCGCCTCACGCACCCTGCGGGGCCGGGCGGGCGCGAGGTGGAGGTGGCGGTGAAGGTGATGGCGGCGGAGCACATCACCGGCGGCATGTCCAGCTTTCAGGTGGGCCAGGCGAGCTTCCAGGTGGGCTTCCAGGTGGGCGACCGGTGGATGCTGCGACATTCATATGAGACGTGTATGCAGTATGTGAGACGTCCGGTGCGGGCTTCATCAGCTTGCAGCCATTTAAGTGCAGGGGTGAGAGGTGCAGGTGGCGAGAGGTGCAGGTGGCGAGAGGTGCAGGGGCGAGAGGTGCAGGTGCGAGAGGTGCAGGTGCGAGAGGTGCAGGTGCGAGAGGTGCAGGTGCGAGAGGTGCAGGTGCGAGAGGTGCAGGTGCGAGAGGTGCAGGTGCGAGAGGTGCAGGTGCGAGAGGTGCAGGTGCGAGAGGTGCAGGTGCGAGAGGTGCAGGTGCGAGAGGTGCAGGTGCGAGAGGTGCAGGTGCGAGAGGTGCAGGTGCGAGAGGTGCAGGTGCGAGAGGTGCAGGTGCGAGAGGTGCAGGTGCGAGAGGTGCAGGTGCGAGAGGTGCAGGTGCGAGAGGTGCAGGTGCGAGAGGTGCAGGTGCGAGAGGTGCAGGTGCGAGAGGTGCAGGTGCGAGAGGTGCAGGTGCGAGAGGTGCAGGTGCGAGAGGTGCAGGTGCTGGAGGCGGAGCACATCACTGGAGGCATGTCGAGGAGCTTGCAGGGGAGAGAGATGAGGGCAAGGGAGAGAGATGAGGGCAAGGGAGAGAGATGAGGGCAAGGGAGAGAGATGAGGGCAAGGGAGAGAGATGAGGGCAAGGGAGAGAGATGAGGGCAAGGGAGAGAGATGAGGGCAAGGGAGAGAGATGAGGGCAAGGGAGAGAGATGAGGGCAAGGGAGAGAGATGAGGGCAAGGGAGAGAGATGAGGGCAAGGGAGAGAGATGAGGGCAAGGGAGAGAGATGAGGGCAAGGGAGAGAGATGAGGGCAAGGGAGAGAGATGAGGGCAAGGGAGAGAGATGAGGGCAAGGGAGAGAGATGAGGGCAAGGGAGAGAGATGAGGGCAAGGGAGAGAGATGAGGGCAAGGGAGAGAGATGAGGGCAAGGGAGAGAGATGAGGGCAAGGGAGAGAGATGAGGGCAAGGGAGAGAGATGAGGGCAAGGGAGAGAGATGAGGGCAAGGGAGAGAGATGAGGGCAAGGGAGAGAGATGAGGGCAAGGGAGAGAGATGAGGGCAAGGGAGAGAGATGAGGGCAAGGGAGAGAGATGAGGGCAAGGGAGAGTGATGAGGGCAAGGGAGAGAGATGAGGGCAAGGGAGAGAGATGAGGGCAAGGGAGAGAGATGAGGGCAAGGGAGAGAGATGAGGGCAAGGGAGAGAGATGAGGGCAAGGGAGAGAGATGAGGGCAAGGGAGAGAGATGAGGGCAAGGGAGAGAGATGAGGGCAAGGGAGAGAGATGAGGGCAAGGGAGAGAGATGAGGGCAAGGGAGAGAGATGAGGGCAAGGGAGAGAGATGAGGGCAAGGGAGAGAGATGAGGGCAAGGGAGAGAGATGAGGGCAAGGGAGAGAGATGAGGGCAAGGGAGAGAGATGAGGGCAAGGGAGAGAGATGAGGGCAAGGGAGAGAGATGAGGGCAAGGGAGAGAGATGAGGGCAAGGGAGAGAGATGAGGGCAAGGGAGAGAGATGAGGGCAAGGGAGAGAGATGAGGGCAAGGGAGAGAGATGAGGGCAAGGGAGAGAGATGAGGGCAAGGGAGAGAGATGAGGGCAAGGGAGAGAGATGAGGGCAAGGGAGAGAGATGAGGGCAAGGGAGAGAGATGAGGGCAAGGGAGAGAGATGAGGGCAAGGGAGAGAGATGAGGGCAAGGGAGAGAGATGAGGGCAAGGGAGAGAGATGAGGGCAAGGGAGAGAGATGAGGGCAAGGGAGAGAGATGAGGGCAAGGGAGAGTGATGAGGGCAAGGGAGAGAGATGAGGGCAAGGGAGAGTGATGAGGGCAAGGGAGAGAGATGAGGGCAAGGGAGAGAGATGAGGGCAAGGGAGAGAGATGAGGGCAAGGGAGAGAGATGAGGGCAAGGGAGAGTGATGAGGGCACGGGAGAGTGATGAGGGCAAGGGAGAGAGATGAGGGCAAGGGAGAGTGATGAGGGCAAGGGAGAGAGATGAGGGCAAGGGAGAGAGATGAGGGCAAGGGAGAGAGATGAGGGCAAGGGAGAGAGATGAGGGCAAGGGAGAGTGATGAGGGCAAGGGAGAGAGATGAGGGCAAGGGAGAGTGATGAGGGCAAGGGAGAGAGATGAGGGCAAGGGAGAGAGATGAGGGCAAGGGAGAGAGATGAGGGCAAGGGAGAGAGATGAGGGCAAGGGAGAGTGATGAGGGCAAGGGAGAGAGATGAGGGCAAGGGAGAGAGATGAGGGCAAGGGAGAGAGATGAGGGCAAGGGAGAGAGATGAGGGCAAGGGAGAGAGATGAGGGCAAGGGAGAGAGATGAGGGCAAGGGAGAGAGATGAGGGCAAGGGAGAGTGATGAGGGCAAGGGAGAGAGATGAGGGCAAGGGAGAGTGATGAGGGCAAGGGAGAGTGATGAGGGCAAGGGAGAGTGAAGGCAGGGAATTGTAGTAAGGCAGGAAAAGCCATCTACTCAGGAGCTGCGGTACTTACAAGTGGACATGAGCAAAACCCAAGCTGGAACGAGTTTGGTTCGGACCCAAAGAAACACCTTCCTACCCGAAGCGTAACGTGTTCGCCTGGAACGGGGAAGCATTTGACCAAAAACAAAACCTTGCTCGGATTGTCAGAAACGAGTTGGTGATGAAGCGAACGGGGGTTGGGAGGCTTGCTCATGTCTTACAAGTCGTGTTAGGCAAGTAGGAATATCGCTGTATGGTAAAGTAGTAGCTAAGAGTTCCCAAGGCTGGAGCTCGTCTTGTTAAGAAGTGAGAGTGAGGGCAGGGGGGAATGGTAGTGAGCTTACACAGCTGTACCCTGTTTCCTCCCCGCCCCTCATGGCCCTCTATCTCTAAAGGATTGCTTCGTGTTACTCATACCCCGTCCCCTCCCCACACTCACGGTGCCTCTCCCCACACTCACCGTGCCCCTCCCCACTCTCACCGTGCCCCTCCCCACTCTTACCATGTCCCTCCCGACTCTTACCGTCTCCCTCCCCACTGGAAGACTCGCTCTCTTTCAGAGGCGCCTAAAAGATCAGTCCTTGCTACTCATACAGTGTGCCCCTCCCCACTGTCACCGCGCGCAGGTGGAGGTGGCAGCGATGACGGCCATGCAGCACCCCAAGATCCTGCAGCTGCTGGGCTACGTGGGGGACTCGCCCTCGCCCGTGCTCGTCTACGAGTTCATCCCCCGCGGCGACTGCACCGACATGCTCAAACAATGTGCGCTCTGCTGCTGCTGCTGCCGCTGCTGCAGCCGCCGCCACTGCTGCTTTGCTGTTAGTGTAAACTAGAAGCAGAACGGTAAGATGTTTGCAGATGGGGCTGGGTGGCTATGCGGTGTGCACATGGGGCTGAGTGGCTATGAGGTGTGCACATGGGGCTGAGTGGCTATGAGGTGTGCACATGGGGCTGGGTGGCTATGAGGTGTGCACATGGGGCTGGGTGGCTATGAGGTGTGCACATGGGGCTGGGTGGCTATGAGGTGTGCATATGGGGCTGGGCGGCTATGAGGTGTGCACATGGGGCTGGGTGGCTATGAGGTGTGCACATGGGGCTGGGTGGCTATGAGGTGTGCACATGGGGCTGAGTGGCTATGAGGTGGGGGCTGAGTGGCTATGAGGTGTGCGTAGAAGAAAGTCATGTAAGAGGGTTGTGAGCGGGAGGCGTGGATTACAAAGGGAGGAGAAGCAGAGGTATGGAGAGGGAAGAGTGGGAGGAGTGGGGGAGAGGAGAGGGAGACGGAGGTGTGAGTGGGGAAGAACGGAGGTGTGAGTGGGGAAGAACGGAGGTGTGAGTGGGGAAGAACGGAGGTGTGAGTGGGGAAGAACGGAGGTGTGAGTGGGGAAGAACGGAGGTGTGAGTGGGGAAGAACGGAGGTGTGAGTGGGGAAGAACGGAGGTGTGAGTGGGGAAGAACGGAGGTGTGAGTGGGGAAGAACGGAGGTGTGAGTGGGGAAGAACGGAGGTGTGAGTGGGGAAGAACGGGGAGTTTCTTTCGGAACTCACTTCTCTCTGCCAGTTTGACCAATCCAGCAGGACGAGCTACGCCCCCAACAGGATAGTTCTCCCTGGGCAGTTATGGAAGCATCAAGGCTGATCCTAAGCTTCTGCAGAATCTTAGAAGGCGTACACACTAGCCCTGCTGCCCACCCCACCTCCTCGCACTACTCCTTCTCAGAACCTTCCTGCGCACCCATCCTCACTTGCACAACCGTTTCCTCTCCACTTCGCCTGCTGCTTACATCCCCTCTTTCCCGGAACCTTCTTATGGCAGCGGCGAAGGGAGAGGTGCACTTCCCGTGGAGGGCGCGGCTGGTGGTGGCGCTGGGGTGTGCGGAGGCGCTGGCCGCCATCCATGACGCCAACTTCGTGCACCGCGACTTCAAGGCCTCCAACGTGCTGCTCCGCGAGGTGGGGATGGTACCATGCTGCACCGCACTGAATCGCACCACACCTGAGTCCTGACTGCACTGGACTGGACTGCGCTGCAGTGCACCACACCCCCCGTTGCCGCACACTTCCGTCCTTTGCCTCAAATCAAACACTCCCCCCAGTGCCTCACACCCCCCACCCCTCTTGCCTCTCACACCAATCACCCCTCTTGCCTCTCACACCAATCACCCCTCTTGCCTCCTACACCAATCACCCCTCTTCCCTCCCACACCAATCACTCCTCTTGCCTCCCACACCAATCACCCCTCTTGCCTCTCACACCCCCACCCTTTGCCTCATAACCCTACCCCTCCTTGCACCACACACCCCTCTTCATGCCTCACAACCTTTACCGTGCGTGCCTCACACCCGTTACCATGCTTCACAGCCTTAACCGTGCCTCACACCCGTTACCATGCCTCAAAGCCTTTACCGTGCCTCACACCCGTTACCATGCCTCACAAACCTTTACCATGTCTTAAACCTCTCCCATCTTTCTCACACCTATCCAATACCCCGTATCCCTCCCACCCCTCTCCCACCGCACCACCGCACAGGACCTGACACCAGTGCTGGCAGATTTCGGGTTGGCAAAGTCGGTGACGGACTGGGCAACGCACGTGAGCACACGGGTGATGGGCAGCATGGGGTACATGGACCCCATCTACTTCCAGACAGGTGAGTGATGGGCAGCATGGGGTACATGGACCCCATCTACTTCCAGACAGGTGAGTGATGGGCAGCATGGGGTACATGGACCCCATCTACTTCCAGACAGGTGAGTGCCTAGCGATGCACGCATGTATACATGTGGTCAGTGGTCAATGCACATCCATACATACACACACGAGCCCCTCAGTAGCATGGGGCCATCTATTTCCAAAAGGCTTTCGCCCTACTTGCCCCACTCTCCTGCAATCCAAATGCCCCACTCCCTTGCATTTTTTAAGGCCCACTCTCTTGCAATCCCAACCCCCCCGACTCTCTTTCAACCCCAATGCCGCCCTCCCTTGCATTTCTAGTGCCCCACTCCATTGCAATCCCAATGCCCTTGCAATTCCAATGCCCTTGAAATCCCAATGCCCTTGCAATTGCAATGCCCTTGCAATCTCAAATGCCCTTGCAATTCCAATGCCCCACTCCATATTCCAATACCCCACTCTTTTGCAATCCTAGCACCCCAATTTCTTGCAATCCCGATGTCCCACTCCCTTCCATTCCCAACCCCCCACTCCCTCACATCCCGTTCTTTGCCCACCCCTCGACCTCCAAGGTCAACTGAGCCGCAAGTCCGACACGTATGCCTTCGGGGTCTTCCTCCTGGAACTCGTATCCGGCTGCCTCGCCCTCGACGATCGCTTCCAGGAGCTGCGAAAGCTGGTGGTGGCGAAGACCTTTCCGGACCCGGAGCTGGTGGTGGACCCGCGGATAAAGGGCGAGTGGACCAAGAAGCAAGTCTACATTGTCTTCACGCTCATTCGCTTCGCCATCTTCTTCGATTGGGATAACCGCCCGAGCATGTCGGTGATGCGGGATAAGCTGATGACCGTTGTTGAATAGTGGCGTCACGCAAGGGGTTGGGTTCAGGTTTGGGTTTGGCGTGCACTGCTGCTGTTGGAAAGGCTTGACAGATTGTCGTGGTCACTGGTCAGTCTTGAAATGTCACCCAGGAGGTCCCTGCGAGAGTTGGATGATGGGTATGCATGGTCGGCGTTCCGTAGAGATGTGGCTTATGCCGTAATAGAGTTCTGCACCTGTAAAGGTACTTGGCAGGTGCTATTCGTTGTGTGACTTGAGAGTGTCGAGAGAGAAAAGTGCACTAGGTAGAAAGTCGAGAGTAGTACTATAAAAGAACAAGTGTTGTCCAGGCCTAATATTAACAGTGTAAATCACCCTGATACACTGATTATCAGGGTGGTTTTTGGTAGTCACACTGATGCCTTCATTTGTTTTGCAGCTTGGATTTTCCGGATGTGCCAGGGTTACGTTCTTAACGAGTTTTACCTTATCTGTGCCTCGACAATACACGTGTTGTGTCAAATGTTGTTTTACATATTTGTTAGAATTGTAGCCTAAGTAGGGTTCACAGTAGGGGGTACATAACTTTTCTCGACTCTTGCCTTGTACTCCCCTCTCCCTCACTACCATTGCCTTGCGCTTGTCCGCGACACCTCTGCGGACAAGCTCTCGACTTGCGCCATCCCCTGTGTCTTCCTTGGTTTCCCGGTGGGCTCTCCCGACTACTCTTTTTACCACCCGCCCTTCCACCAGTTTCTAGACTCTCGTGACGTCTGGTTTGACGAGTCAGTGTCCTACTACACCCGGTACCCCTGTCGAGGTCTCCCGGTTCCCCCTCCCCCCCTCTTCCTCGCACCCTCTCCTCCCCCTGCTCCCGCTCCTGCGGTACCCCCGCCCCCCCCCTGGTCCTGCCCTGTCAGGTGTGTCTCACGCTACCCCTCTACCCTCAGTTGCGCGTCAGGTAGCGTCTCCCTCCCCGTAGTCCTCCTCACAGTCCCTTCAGCAGCCTTCGGCACTTCCGCGACATGTTACTGTGGACTCCGGGGGTGTTGGAGCTGGAGGTGCTGCCACTGGAGGTACTCAATCTGGGGGTGCTCTTTTGAGGGGTGCTGGAGCTGGAGGTGCTGGCGCTGGAGGCGCTAGTTCTGGAGGTGCTGCAGCAGGAGGTACTAGCACTGGAGGTGCTAGTTCCGAGGAGACTGGAGCTGGAGGCACTACTCCTGCGCCTCCCCACCGCCACGACACACGTCTCCATGCGGCTCGTCGACGTGAGCGAGAGGAGCAGGAGCGGTTAGAGCAGGAGAGGCAGGAGCTGCGGCAATTGGACCTGCAGCAGCAGCAGCAGCGTTCGCCGCAGTCGCCACTTTTGCAGCAGCTGTTCCCACCAGTGAGTGGCCTTCGGGCCCTTGGTCTTCCCTCCACTCCTCCTGTCCCCTCACAGTCTCCTACCGCGTACGGCCCTATGTTTCCTCCTCCGGACTCGGCTCCGTCTGTTTTCTCTCCTCCTCAGTCACAGTCGCTTCCTCCTGTTCTCCCGCACGACTGGACTACGCGTTGTCCTCCGCGTGCTCGTCCCTCGTCTCCTTTTGACGACCTCTGCACTGTCTTGTTTCGTTCTAGTCCTCGTCGTGCTCCGTCTGTGTCTACTCTCCCGCCACCCCCTGCGTCGTCTCTCACTGTCTCCTCTCACCCCATTACTGACTACTACCGTGCTGCTCCTCCTGTTGTCTCTCGTGTTCTCGCCTCTCTTGTCACCGACTCTCGTGCCTCTCCGTCGTCTGTCTCGGCTCTTACTGCTGCTGTCGCTGACTTTACTGCCACCCGCCGCCTTGACTTCGCCACGCGTGTGGTGGCTGCTCCGCCTGCCCGTCCTCTGTCCGTCGGGGGTGAGTTTGCCCTTGGTTGTGACGTCCTAGAGGACAGGCAGTTTGAGCTGGAGTTCTTGGCAGCCGCTTCTCCCTCTCTATGTGCCATGCAGCTTTCCCCTGAGGGAGACCCCGACGCCCTTGACATACCGACTCCTCGCACATACCATGAGGCAATGTCAGGGCAGTGGGCCTCTCAGTGGAAAGCGGCCATGGACGCAGAGATGGCGTCTTGGAGATCCACAGGCACCTACGTTGACGTAGTTCCCCCTCCCAGGGCGAACGTAGTCGACAACATGTGGATCTTCAAGGTGAAGCGGCCGCCTGGATCGCCGCCTGTCTTCAAGACGCGCTACGTGGCTAGAGGTTTCAGTCAGCGTGAGGGAGTTGACTTCTTCCAGACCTTTGCCCCGACCCCGAAGATGACGACTCTTCGGGTGTTACTTCACGTGGCAGCACAGCGTGACTACGAGCTGCACTCCCCGACTTCTCCACTGCTTTTCTCCAGGGCAGCCTGCACGAGGAGATCTGGTTGCGTCGTCCTCCTGGCTTCACTGGCACTTTCCCGCCTGGGACCTAGTGGAGCCTGAGACGACCAGTCGACGGTCTCCGCCAGGCGCCCCGTGAGTGGCACGACACGTTACGCAACACTCTTGCTGACCTCGGTTTCCACCCTTCGTCAGCCGACCCGTCGGTGTTTGTTCGCAGGGGCTCCACTCCCTTCTTTGTTCTTGTCTACGTCGACGACTTGGTTTTCGCTACAGCGGACAGGGTTGCTTTGGCTGAGGTGAAGTCAGAACTGCAGAAGAGACACACGTGCACTGACCTTGGTGAGCTGCGCCGCTACCTTGGCTTGCAGATCACCACGGACAGAGCCGCTCGCACCATTACACTCTTACAGTCACAAATGGTGCAGCAGGTCCTTCAGCGGTTCGGGCTTCAGCACTCCACCACACAGCCTACTCCTCTTGCCGTTGACCACAGACTCGCCAGCCCTTTTCCCGACGAGCCCTTTGAGTCTAGTGGTCCCTTCACAGCGCTTGTGGGCTGCCTCATGTACCTGATGACTTGTACTCGTCCGGACCTCGCCTTTCCCCTCAGCGTTCTCTCTCGTTTTGTTGCGACTGGGAGACACCGTCCAGTGCACTGGACGGCTGCTGTGAGGGTGGCGAAGTACCTGGCGACATCAGGCGTGGGGCTTGTGCTTGGAGGGAGACAGCCAGTTGTACTGACTAGTCACTGCAACTCTTCGTACGTCGACGACGCGGAGACCCAGCGGTCTAGTCAGGGGTACTGCTTGAGTTTGGGTGCTGGAGCTGTGTCGTGGAGGTCTACTAGGTCGTCGTCTGTGGCACAGTCCAGCGCAGAGGCAGAGATCTACGCTGGTGCCATGGCCGCGCAGGAGCTTCGTTGGTTGACTTTCTTGCTCACTGGCCTTGGTCAGAGGCCTCGCTCTGCACCGACCTTGTTCGCTGACAACAAGGCCATGATCCTCCTCTGTCGAGAGCCTCGACTGGAGGGCAGAGTAAAGCACATCGACGTGAGGTACTTTCTCCTGCGAGAGTTGCAGCGACGCGGCAGTGCTCGCTTGGACTTTGTGGCCTCAGCGGCCAACACAGCAGACATTTTCTCCAAGGCCCTAGCGCCTAGTGACCACCACAGGTTCTGTCTGCAGTTAGGTCTTGTTGACTCTGGTGCTCGGTTGCTGTAGCCTTGTTCTTGTTGCTTGCTCTGGTTGTCCTTGCATATATATGTGTATATATATTAGTGAACTTTTGAACTGGCCTTGTGGCCGCTTTCTTGTGCTCAGACTGTGTGGTGACTTCGTGATCCACTCTGAGCTTTGTGTCGTTGTTTCGCTTGACTGGTCTTGTGACCATTTGTGTCCCTTGCTTGCTTTGATGCCCCTCACTTAGGCTATCGGGGTGTGTCAAATGTTGTTTTACGTGTTTGTTAGAATTGCAGCCTAAGTAGGGTTCACAGTAGGGGGTACAGAACTTTTCTCGACTCTTGCCTTGTACTCCCCTCTCCTGTCAGAATCCCAACCACTAGACCATTGGGATAAAAGGGCTTGTTAAGTAGCGGGTCAGTGCGCCCATAACCCCCCAGGCCAACATGCCTGTAACCCTTCCCTAGGATCAATCGGGGATCACCAGTGGACCTCTGACACCCCCCCGCACTGGGATGCCCGAAGTGCACACACTGGGATTCGAACCCGAGACCTTCCCTCTGATACCATGTCAGAATCCCAGTCACTAGACCACTGGGATAAAAGGGCTTGTTAAGTAGCGGGTCAGTGCGCCCATAACCCCCCATAACAACGAGCCTGTAACCCTTCCCTAGGATCAATCGGGGATCACCAGTGGACCTCTGACATCTCCCTCACCACCAATCATTCCGCTACGTAACTTTTGAGATGTTGGCACGAAGTGGGCCGTCATTGGCCAGAAATCAATTGCACCTGCTGTGCCCTTGGAAAGGAAGGGGAAAGAGAAGGTGCCCTAGCCATAGGACGATAGTGACCAGGAGGAACATCCTTGTGCCTTGTCCGATGATGACTAAGATGTTTATTGTGTGCTTTTAGTGTAATAACAATTGATCATGGTTTTTTAAAATCTTACACTGATGCCTCCAGGTAATTTTTTCAAACCTATCCTTTACCCTGATGCAAAAGTTTTTTTCGAAGGGGTCACACTGATAATCAGGAATTTGCATAGGTGCAGCACTGATTATAAGGGTTGCTCAAAACAAAAAATTAGCCCTGGTGTTGTCCCCTCAAAGAAACTAAACCCTAGTTTAGCCTATAACTGTATGAATATAAATAAAACATACAAACATAACTGTTTGAAACAGAGTGTTCAGGTAAAACAATTATTGTAATTCATAAGATATAGGACCCGCAGGACAGGGTCCTCCAGGATTCTTATGCGAAGGAGGGCTTTTTATGGTCGTATGAGCGTGATGTTTTGGTGTCAACATAATTGTCAGAATGAGAGCGTATTCCTACGGGGCCACCTCGTATCAAGAATGGCCCTCTTGCCTGTAAATTGACAACCTCGCCAAAACCTCATATCAGGAAATGTTGCCGGTTAACCCACATGTGAGACTCCAATCAAACGCTGATGTGGCGTGTTGCGACCCACGATGAACATACAAAACAAGCCACGTAAGCATAGG